GCCTGCACCCTCCAGTGGCCTGTGGTGTGCTCATCCCAATATGTCCTGCAGGGACTGAGACATTGGGCAGTCCTGCAGTGCTGGACCCAGAGATGTAAAACTGACCCACTCCCTTTGGCCAGATCTAAACTGCAGGGTTTATGGCAGGGCAAAACTGGATGTGGCAGAGCAAGCTGTGTCATTAAATCCATGGGAGTTAATGTAGCTGCCACTCATCTGCCAACATGCCTTTCCAATGGGGCTCTGTTAATTCAGGGTGGCTCCACTCCTGAATTCCTAGCCCCTCTAGGCAGCCTTGCAGATCAGATGTCATGGCTTCGTGGGCTGGATCTAACCAACTGACCATAGCATAGAAAATCATAGAAAATGAGGGTTGGAAAGGACCTAGCCCAACCTGCTGCTCAAAGCAGGACCATCCCCAAATAGATGAATCCCAACCAAAGCTTTGTCTATCCGGATCTTAAAAACCATTGAGGATGGAAATGCTACAACCTTACTGAGTAACCTGTTCCAGTGTTTTACTACCTTTCCTTGTGAGAAAGTTTTTCCTAATATCTAACCTAAACTTCCCTTGCTGCAATTTGAGACCATTGCTCCTTGTTCTGTCATCTGCCACCGCTGAGAACAGTCTAGCTCCATCCACTTTGAAACCACACTTCAGGGAGTTGTAGGCTGCTCTTAAGTGCCCCCCCCCCCCATCTTCTCTTTGTAAAACTAAATAAGCGCATTTTCCTCAGCCTCTCCTCAGAATCGTGTGCCCCAGCTCCCTAACCATTTTTGTTACTCTGATGGACTCTCTCCAATTTGTTTGCATCCTTTCTGTAGTTGGGGGCCCAAAACTGGACACCCCTTCAATAAAGAATGTGACAAAAATCTGATGTACACCGTTTCTAAAATGGTATTTAAAGATTTATGGAAATAAGAGCGAGGGAGAAGTGACTTTTGGTCATCAAGTTTTTCAGGCAACACAGAAATACCTTCTGTTGATAATGTGATGGGACTGTCCCTGTAAATCAGCAGAAAGAAACATCTACAGGTTTCCCTCACTTTATGTGGGTTCTGTATGTGTGAATTTGCTCTTATGCAATGACCCTTTTTATACCAAAAATTCATTATATGTGAGGTAAATTCACTCTTATGCGATTGGTGTGGGAAGCCCAGAGTCAAATGATTTGTACAGTGCATTGTGGGAGTGACGCACACCAAAATATAGTCTCCTGTGTGGATCTGTGCTCCTTGCTCGTTGTCTGCGACACGTGTTTCTGTAGTTGCCATCCCCAGTATGGTAACATTCACCCCCACCCCGTGCTTGTGTGTACTGTCTGCTGTTGGCGAGTACTAAAATTGTCTTGTAAAACCATAGAAATGGGCCTGAGGGTCAATATAGTCAAGGTCTTGGAACAGATCCCTAGTTGTTACATTGTATAGTGGGTTCCCTTTATGTGAATTTGAGTTATGTGCCCTTTTCCAGGAACGCATGCATAGCATAAAAGCAAGGGAAACCTGTATTGTAAAAAGCCAGGGAAGGAGCAAGGAGGTCACACCACTCGCTCAGTCCAGAGGATTAATCAGGCACTAGGGTCTGGTTTCCCCATGTGTGTACTAAAGGAGCAGATTACTGGCCATCACAAACATGAAGAGAGCTGGCTGAGACCACTGCCAGGAACAAGAGTGGGGACGGGGACAGACTGAACCTCCCTATATCCAATCTATAGACCAGGGGTAGGAAACCCCCAGCACGGGTGCCAGAGTGTGGCACTCAAAGACATTTTGCTTGGCACACATGCCTCTGGGTGGATAGTGGGGAAGGAGCTGGGGCTACACAGCCACAACAAGGATCAGGCCCTTCATGGCTCCCCTACTATCTATCCCTGGCGTGCCACCATCTTACAAGTTGAAGTTGCAAGTGTTTTTGACACACTGCCCAAAAACGTTGCCGACCCCTGCTATAGACTCATGCAAGATTGCGAATATGACTGAATATTCCCCACCCCAGCAAATGTACGCCGCGTGTTAAAACCTTTGCCAGAGCATTCCTTACAGTCTTACAACTCCATACTAATGTGGTTAAAATGGTAAAATTCTTCTTACAACAATGGTGCATTGAAATTTTCTAATCACTCTACTCCAGGCTAATGTAGGAAACATAACTAACTGCTGGTCTTAGATTGCATTAATATACAACTATGCACCATGTGCAGTAGGGCCTGTATTGTCTTGCAACTCTACTGAACTATGTAATGACACTAATTTTACCATCAACATTTAACATCTAAATAATGTTTTTCAGTCTATATAATATGGTTGTTCCTGACCCTCCATCTTGCTTGCTTTGCTCCTGCTGTTCCCTGGAACCTGCAAAATTAGAATGTACTGCAGCACAGAATACTACTTGGCAATCAACATTTTTTTAAAAGAAAAAGCGCAAATATTAGCAAAAATAATCCCAACAAAAACAAAAACAAACAAACAACCCAGCCAGATGGGCTAGGGCCAGAAGTTTCACGTAAACCAATTTAAGTGAACAGAAACTGGTTTATATGTGTAACAGAACAGACGCTCACTGCACATGAACCAGTTTCAAAATGGCAGAAACAGTTTAAGATCAACCTGGTTGAATGTAGTATCACACTTAATGGATTTCAGTCAAACCAGTTTATGGAACTTCTGTCCCAGACCCCTTTCTAGTTCAAGTTAAATCACAGTTCCCCAGCATCCCAGGATGCTTTGTAGCCCTGGGCTGGGAGGTGCCATCTCCTCCAGAGAGTAGGGTTGGTCCTGCCTTTCTGCTCCCCAGCTGGAGCAGTGAGGGCTGGACTAGAAGGTGGTGGAGGTGGGAAACCTGGCTGGGGACTGCAGCTGGGTCAGGGGAGGGGGGGGGGGATGGTGGAGGCAGCCCCTTCCAGACTTTTCCATGCTGGGGGCCTGGGTCAGGGCTTGTGGGGGGCAACAGCCTGAGGGGGACTGCACCCCTTCCCCCCAGCAACCCCTGCTGGAGTTTGGACTCTGGGGTCTTAGAGGGGCTTTAATCCCCACTTCCCCAGCTCAGTGTGCTGGTCATGCCCCCTGCTTAAGAGACAAGGTCTATGGGATATCTCCACTCTAACACCTAGGACCACTGACTGATTCCCCAAGGAGGACTTTTTGAATACTTTTTGAAAAACTACTTCACAGTTAGGGCGGCTAGGAGCTGGAACCAACTTCCAAGGGAGGTGGTGCTGGCCCCTACCCTGGGGATCTTTAAGAAGAGGCTGGATACTTACCTGGCTGGACTCATTTGAGTCCCGTTTTTGTTTTTAGGGTGTGTTGTTTTTGGGTTGTTCTCCCGCCCTGGCGGGGGGTCGGGCTAGAAGATCTATTAGGTCCCTTCCGACCCTGAAACTATGAAACTATGAAATACCCGGCTGTAAGGATTACGTAAGACTCATGGTAAGGCTCTCTCTTGTCTTTTTGGTTTACATTTTAAATTAGACTAATTTGTATCTGCTCTCACTGTGTTTTACTGGGCTGCATCTTAGCTTAGGTGAAGATCTTTGGTTGTTCTTTGTTGTGTGCTTGAGGTTGCAAATTGCTATGCTCAACACATGCTTGCTTCAGAGAAAGGGCTATTCTTGTTCAAGCTTTTATGAAGTCAATGCCACTACCTTTTTCCCCACCCACCAGGGAGGCACTGCCCGCTTCTCCCTCCCCTCCCCCCCCCCCCCCCCCCACAGACCCAGGCTGGGATCCCCTGTGGGCCAAGAAAGGGATTTAAACTGCCACCCTCCAGTATGCTAGCCCAGGGCTAGAGCCTGGCAACACCTCCTCTGCTTGAGCAGGGAAGGGGGAGAGCCTTGGAGCTTCAGTTGGCAGTGGCTGGCAGGCATGCTCTAGCACCCGCCGGCTTCTGGCCTGAGCCACTGCAGGCATGTGGCTGCATTTCCTGAATCACAATCGAGTGTCTGTTCTCTTGCTTCTTGGTTTAATCTGCAGTTTAGACTAACCTGCAAAGACTGAATTGATTCAGCCTTGGGCTTTTTGACTGTCTGTACAGACCATGAAGTCTGAATGTAAAACAAAAATGATTTAAGAAAAACTTAAATGAAAAGCAGAACAAGGTGGAAAATGCTTGAACACACAAATCTCTCCCTGACCCCATCCCTGCCCCCAGCCCTTTTAACTGGTCCTCATTTTAAATCTAGAAATCACTGACTCTATACAATTAAAATGGCAAATCTCATTTATCAACTTTGGCAAACAGGAGGCACAAAATATTTAGAATGCTTTTGCCCAGATTCAGTGGCAAGAAGTCACTCACCGTTTACAACAGAAATGGTTACATAATAAAGTTTTAGTGTACGGTTGACTGTTACTAAGTCTTAACCCACCAGAACAGTCCTTGAGTAGAAGCTTTGTGCTTTTCCCAAAAATAAGCTTTTTAATAAGAGGACACAAAAATCAGCATTTTTTTTTTTTTTTTTTACATTAAGCTAATTCTTCAGCAAGTGACAATTTATTTTTATGTTAGATTCAGACACCTTAATTACCAGAGTGTCTGCTAACATAATTGTGATGAATATAATTGTTAAATGCTTAAGTTGCTCTCTCTCATATTTTAACATTGACTAAATTCATTCCTGGGTCACACTGTTAGTGTGTCATGCTTGGAAAGGACAACAACAATCTCATTACCTATAGAAGATATCTTACAGTGCTGAGGGAGGAGAAAAGACCTACGAAATATTGCTTAAGGTTTAACATTAGGGGATTCACATATACTACTGATTTTTTTTAGCATACAAAAGTAATTACAGACCTTTATGCAGTATCTGCAATACGTAATATAGATATTTTCTTTTTGATTTTCTAAATTGATAAATAATTGTCATGAATTACCTGTGATTTCATCTCATAAAGTGTAGCATCTTCTGGAGTTAACTGAAGTGCTTCATCCCATTTGTGAATAGCCTCCCAGTACCTGTAGTTGTTAAAACAATATTACAGTCTCACTATGTTTATGAATGGTAGAGACTAGGTTACTATGTACTGACGGAAGTATCAATATGATGCTCATCACCAAAGTACTGGAGTTTTTTCTCAAACTCTCTACAAGATAAGAAAATGCTACTATTTTACTGATGAAAAAACAGAGGCACAGACAGGTTAAGATCAGACTTTCAAGTGCTCAGTATGTACACATGGAACCAGATCTTTAAAAAAAGGGGTTCAGCACTCAACTGTTTCCACTGTACAGGGGCAGAGTTTCACAGGTCAGCATTCAACATGTTCAGCTATTCTGGAAAAAATGGTTTACTTGTTCTGGTGCTTAAACACAGGTTGAGTGCTTCTGTGAAATGAGGATGTTAGTAATTTAGCTGAAAACAGGAAGCCTAGGGGATGAGAACTGAAACAGGATCTCCACAATCTCAATCCATTTCCTTAGCTGCAAAACCATCCTCTCTTTGTGCCTTGATTTGAGATTAAATATAACAAGACCTCTTTTAAAATCAAAGCTGAAAAAAAAAAAAAGAATGCAAAAGGCATGTAATAACTGTTGACAAGTTTGCTATTTTGAATTTGTTTCCAGCCCAGTCCACCAAGCTATTGAAATATGGGTGACAAAGTCTTTCATTTTCATCAGAATTGAAACAGTCAATATAGACTTTTCAGCAAATAATAATCATTACTAACAAATGACTGCATTAATAATATCTCGAATTTCACTTCTTCAAATGTAAGAGTATTCAAAGTCTTAAAACTTCAAGGTTTAGTCAGCTTTGCTATTGAGAAACTGTTTGACTAGGCATTAGGCCATTTTCGAGGAAGGAACAGCCCACAACACATTGCCCAACTGATCTCTCTATATATAGCGGTGTTTCATTTTAATCATGGACTAAAACACAGTTTTTGGAGGCAGGACTCAGCCCAGCCCCTGTGTGCAGTGCTGGGACCCCAGGTGACAGCAAGAGTGGCCCGGTGCTGCCCAAAGGTACATGCCCCCAAGCTGGGCCCATGCCACGTAGCTTAGTTGGTGCTAGGCCTAAGGTGGCCAGGGCCACGTCATGCTGCGGGGGAGCTCTGCCAGCAGTGGGCCCTGAGCACTCTACAGATGCTGCTGTTATGGGGAAGAGGGGCAGAGGGGAAGGGGTTGTGCACTGTGCCGGGGGGGAGGTCTTAATTCTGTGCAGGGGGTTATGTTAGGCAGTCATTCCTAGAAATACAAATAATGGATATCAGAGTAAAGTATCAATGCTCCCATCTAGTATTTAATAATTAAATAATTAAATAAATAAATAAATAAATGAAAAATTATGACCATCAGTTTTACTGGCACTATTTCCACTTCCATACAGACAAAGCAATTCAAGGTAAAAAAGGAGATCACTGAAGGATAGTGGCAATCCCCATAGCTGTCTGCTAGGATTTTGTAGAGCAGCGGTCAGCAATCTTGTTGGGCTACAAAGCGGAGAGAGCCAATCTGGGTCAGAGAGAGATGGGCACTATGAACCAGCCACCACTGGCACTCATTTCTACAGCAGCACAGGAAGAGTGCAGTATGATCTGTAGCACCTCTCTCCAAAGTTAAGTTTATTTTGAAAACTGTAAGTACAGTGCTACCATAAGTAGAAAACCTTGCAAAAGAAGACTCTAGATTCTTTTACACATGAAAAAATAGGCATGTGTGTTAATTCTGCAAAATTTTTCACTGGTGTTCCACAAACAGAAATAAAGACCACTGTCTCAGAAGTGAAATATACTGTTTGGTATACTGCACAGCACAATGGAAAAACTGTTTTCTACAGTTTCTATTCCAACTGAAAATGTTCTTGGCTCATCCTTTTAAAACATTGCTGTGTAGACTTGCTACTGAAAACAAAACAAAACACAAAAACCTTATTTGGGATGTAAGATATAGTTGTAAAATTGATATTCCAGTAAATATCTGTTGAACACCCATATATTCTGGTTGTAAGAAGACAAGAAATAATACACACTAACTCAGGAGCAGCCAGTTAGCAAGTTTCACATTAAAATCTCTCTCTTCCCCTCTGTACCCACCAATATCCTTTAATATTTTGCTTTAGTTCATAGGAAAGTAGGGCTGGAAAGGACCTCATTTGGTCATCTAGTGCAGCCCCCTTCTCAAGGCAGCACCATTTTACTTTAGAGTAAATTTTGCTAAACTTTAGTTATCACTGGATGTGTCTGTAAGTGCAATGAATGTGGAGCAATACATTCAGATGCTTATTGTGCCAGAGTTTATTGCTCCAGGGTGCATCATTTGCTCATATGCTTGGGACCACAGCACACTGAGCTGGGGTGGAGCAGCCCCAGGTGGCAAGGGGCCCAAGGGGTAAGCCTGACAGCCCAGGGTTGCTCAGACCCAGCTCAATTTACTGCAGAAGGGTTGGCTAGGGCACAAGGGTGCTCCAAGGTGGGGCTAGCCAGCAGAAATCCCCTGCACTGGAGCATCCTCAAGCCCCAACCAGCCACATCAGCATCTATATGTGCACTGCTCCACAGTAAAACACTCTGCAACAGGATAATACTTATATTTATAAGTACTGCCCTGCTATGGAGTTAATTAGTTTCCTGCAGTCTAATAGGGCCCCATGCATAGACACAATAAATTTACTGTGGAGTGAATTAGTCTACTCCACAATAAATGTCTGGTGTAGACAATCCCAGAGGAGAATAAATTTAAGAAAGGGATAAATTCAGCACCAGACCAAAAAACATTAGAACTGTTTTTGGTTAATTAAATAGTGTTGTTCCCAATCAGGTTATCAAACTTTTCCAGTTTTAATTAATATTCCAGTTGCTATTCCTAATTATTTTCTGAACTTCATTCAAGGAAGATTAGAGTAGGGCTTGCCTATACACAAAAGTAATGCTAATACAATGGTGCACATAAACAAAGCACTAGTCACCCATACATAGGTATCTACCCAACTTGAGGAGGCAGCTGGCCAATTTTGCAAGCAGAACATGGGACCGGATGCCATTTTTGAAGGCTTATCATGGCTGGGCCTCCCCCCCCACACACACAGACACCTCTGACTGTCTAGTGGCCTTGCCCCCCGCTGGTGGCACGAGGTCTGGCAGTGAAGGTCCACTAGCAGTGGGAAGGGTCTGGCGGCAACATCCCAAGCTTGTTGCTAATGGCCATAGGCAGCAGGGCTAGAGGACCCTGAATTTCACAGCAGGGCAGCCCCCACTCTCACCAGCTTTTGGTGGCCTGGTGGTAGCCCAACAGACCAGAGTAGCTTTATAGGCCAGATCCAGCCCATGGGTCCTATGTTTGACACCCCTGCTCTACAGTGATAGAAAAAATAATGAAGCAGTACCTCCATACAGGCAGAATTTAAATAGTTTAGGTACTTTTGTAAGAAAAACACAAGCCAAACTCTGTATTCCCTATATGTCTAGTGTTGAATGGTTCTCAATTTTGATATATATAAAATTACATTGTCCTAGGTCAGCAAACTCCATCATGAAATTACTGTGCAACACTAACTTGTACATCCACCCAAGCAAGCAACACAGAAATGGTTAGACACCTGACTCGTCAACAATTTAAATCACCCAACACCAACCTTAATTTAACTGCTCCCAGTCTCTGACAACAGGTATGACACAGCTATTAAGGTGATCAAGAATGGTAAAGCTGCTGGACCAGATAAGGTAGTTCCAGAATTTGTTACGAAGCTTGGAGCCATAACAAAAAGAGGGCTTGTATATACTGATGATTATGTCACTGACATGGACAGCACTCCATTCTATTAGACTCAGGGAGGTGTTATGTCCCTTCATAGTGTGCAAGTCATTTCTGACAGAAGTAGCAAGGTCATGGATCCAGCTGGCTATAGTCTGCAAGGCTGTAGCCTGAAAGCTTCATCTTCCACAGCTGCTCTATATGTATTTCTTGTAGAAGGACTACATGTCTTCCACAGCTGCTTAGAGCCCAGGCTGGCAGTCGTGTGCCAAGCAAAATGGCTTTGCGTGCCATGCTCAGCATGTGCGCTGAGGGTTGCTGACCCCTGCTTTACACTATGTTTCCCTATTCCTATCTATGCTTTTCACACTATAAGTCACCAAAGCAGAGGCAAGAATTCAGAGATCTATTGCTTCTAGACCCATACTCAGCCTACTAGACCACATCATCTCCCAGAAAATTTTACTTGATTGAACCAGATTCAGAAGGACAATCATTTAAAAAAAAAAAAAAAAAAAAAACCCTCTAAGCATCAAAAACAGCACAGAAAAGCAGCACTATTTCTGGTGAGCTGCCCAGCTGATCTTCCATTATGCTTCAAGTATTATTAGTACCACAGGCTTCAAGTTATTATTCCTACCTAGCATTTTATTGTACATATTTTCTCAACAAATTGTGCAATGATGTACAAGGGGGCAGGGAAGGAGAAGAATTTTCTGCTGACTCAAAGTGATGCCTTATTTTTACAGGAAAGAAAAAAGAGAGCCTTACTATGCATTAATAATGACATTTTACCATAAGAAGTATCTTCCATCTGTCTTCAAAATCATCTCACACAAGTTCAACAGGTTAGTTAATAATATACTGCCTTAATAAAATGGAAATTTCTGTTTCTAAAATTACAGCCGTAGTTTTGTTCTGTCTGCTTGGTCTCATTCACTGAGACAAAAAGTTTTCATGATATTCCTTATGATTTTGAAAAAATCTCACTTAGCTCTCTCTAGATGTCTTCCTTTCCAACACCAATTAGTCTTGTTTTTGAAGTTCCTTGCCAAATGCAAGCCCTGATCTGCTGTTAACAGTCTCAGTCATTCAACTGTGTACAGTCTCATTCTCAGAAGTTATGCTGAGGCAAAGGCAAGGTGACCACAAATGACAGCAGTCAGGAAAGCAAATGATTTATGTCATTCTGCTTCTCTAAATGTATCCTGTTTTGGGGGGCTCATTCCTAGATGTTAGATCCTTATTGTGAGACTAAAAAT